TTCGATTTATTGTGTGACAAAGGGCTCGTTAATCCGTAAAGTAATCTTCGGAGAAAAACTACCATTGTATGATAAAATTTTCTGTTCTGTTTGTAAAAGATGGAGTTTGTTCTGAATCTAGTGTCACACATTCATAATTGCCCTTGTTTAAATTTATGAGTAAGAAGTTGGCTGAGTGGAATGAGAAAATACAGTGTGGTTGATTGGTGCATAAGCAATGGCTCGTATTTAAAGAATTAATGCTTGATTTCCAAAAGAACCTGCTTTCCTTTGATGCAAAAATACCCAACAGGAAAAATGGAAGAGCTGTGACTAACAAAGACAGTTAAAGATGGTGTTAGATCAAAGGAAGAGACTTATAAATTTTACAAAAAAATTGTAAACCTGAAGGTTGGGAGATGTTTAGAATTTAGGAAAGGATGACAAAGAAATTGACTTAAAGAAGCGAGAATAGACAAATAAATGTAAACTAAAAAGAAACATAAAAGCGGATTGTAAAATTTTCTGTCGATATGAAAAAAGGAAAAGATTAGCAAATAAAATCTGGAACTATTGCAGGCAGAGACAAGAGAATTCATAATGGAAAATAGGGACATTGCAGAGAAGCTAAAAAGTAGCTTGTGTCTGTATTCATGGAGGAAGATGCAAAAATGTCCCTGAAATCATTGAGATAAGACTTCAAACTGATAGAAATCAGTATTCATTCAAAATATGAATAAGTTATTGGGACTAAGAGCCAACAAATTCTTAGGACCTGGTGATCTTCACTCTAGTGTGATGTAAGAGATGGGTACAGAGATAATGGATACACTGGTTTTCATCTTCAAAATTCTGTTAATTCTGTAATGGTGTCTGCAGATAGAAAGATTGCAAATGTAAACCCATTGTTTAAGAAGAGAAGGAGAAAGAATTCTAGTTATGAATGGCATCAGGTAGATTATCAACCTTGATTTTGAAAGGTGCTGCTGGTTGGAGGAGCTGCATTGCCAACTTCTTTCCCTATGTTTCTTTAACAGTGGTTATTCGTCTCATAAACGATCCTCTGGCGTCAGTATTAAAAATGCCATCAAGATGGATAACTTCACTGCCTCCTTGCTAGAAGTAAAACTGGTCACAACAGAACTATACTTTGCAGATGACTGTAATGTTGTTGCATACGCATTTTTGTCAATTCTAAACAGAAGACATTTGGTCTGACTTTCAGTGTTGCTAAACAATCCACACCTGCCCAGCCAAACGTTTCACTTTCCATACAAGATCAAGGAGAGACTTTGAAACAAGCTCTACACTTCCCATACCTGAGCAGCCACCTCTCTCAAAATCAGAGACAACACAGTGAGGAGCTGGAGGAACACAGCAGGCCAGGCAGCATCAGAGGAGCAGGAAAGCTGACGTTTCGGGTTGGGACCCTTCAGAAATGGGGAGGGGGAAGGGAGCTGGGAAATAAATAGAGGAGGGGTGGGGCTGGGGAAAGGTCAGTGGGATGGTGATAGGTGAGTGCAGGTAGGGAGTGGTAGAGATCGGTCAGTGGGGTGGGTGGATGGGAGAGAAGATCGGAAGAATTTGGAAGAATCAAAAGGGCAACCTCATTGAACCCTGTGGACTGGTGCTTTTGAACTGGATTATCCTAACTTTTTTAAAATCCACCCGTAACAATTGTCTTTTTTTGATTTGCCTGTGTCTCTCTGCATGTATATGTATTGGTTTAAGAAATGGTAGAGTTTAAGATGGACAGCTTGAAGTGTAAAATTAAGACTTTGCCTGTGGTTGAGAATAACTTATTTGTAATAAGTAGTAGTTTCTTGCAAAATGCAGAAATCTGGTCACTGTTAACCTGAGTTTGTCATGCAGGAAACTGGGGGACTTTGAGTAATTTGATTAAAGCTTTAACCCTGGGAATTCTGGGAGTTGGGTATTGACGCACTTTCCCAAGCGGATCGTGACACTCTTGTCAAATGGCCAGCATTCCAGGGAGGGCAAAGAAAACATTTCAAAGATACTCTGAAGTTCCACTTTGTGGTCACAGTGATATTACCGACAGGGAGGAGTTTGTCATCAGTCATTCAAAATGGTAACAACCTGTCCATCAAATGTCAAGCTCTGAATCAAAACATCTTAATGTTAGGCAGAGCAGTGGCACAGAAGGATAGAAAAGGGGGTAAATTCTGTGAACTGGATTCCGCTACTTCCAAGGGTATGAGCAGAAGGCTCAGAGGAAGAGACCAAAAAGTGAGAGGCTTGAGGAACGAGGCAGCAGATGGCTAAGGGTGTGGAATGGGTCAGTCAGAGTCTCAGGACAGGAACAGTGAACAAAATGGCTTTGAGACACCTTCTCCCATGTCCTAAACCCAGCCCCGACACACCAGGCCTTGTTATCACATGGTCTGCTATTACACACCACCCATCATTAGCCTGTAATTGTCCACCAATAGCTATTCTCCCATTCTGATTGTTATCCATTCCTTTGTCTGTCCAACCGTTGTTCTATCTCTTTTGGCTCTATCTCCACCTGTTGTTTACTCCGTGCACCCTCCCTTCACCCTGTCTTCTGCTTGAAAACTAACATTTTTCTACCTACCATCAGTTCTGAGGAAGGGTCACTGAACCTGAAACGTTAACTCTGATTTCTGTCCACAGATGCTGCCAGACCTGCTGACCCTTTCTAGCGATTTCTGTTTTTTGTTTCTGATTTCCAGCGTCCGCACTTCTTTCGGTTTTTGTTAACAATAGGCTTGTGGTAAGATGAGTAAGCAGGGAGCTTGGATGTTAGGAATGATGGTTGGAGACTCTGCAAGGGAGCAGTAAGTGAAGTGACAGTCTGTTTTGCCAGAAAGACTGACTGTGCACAGTAGCCACAGTAAAACAAAAATGATTTTTTTGGGGGGAAAGTCCTTAACTTACAAACAGCACAAAAACTAACAAACTTTTAGAAAGTACATTAACAGGGTAAATCTGGACTCTGGGCTCTGAGTTAAAGATTATGAGTTGGAGCCTGGACTTGAACACACAAGCTAGTCTGACAATACATGCCAATCTATTGTCAGAACTGCTGTATCTCAGCTGAGTCTTTAAACCATCCATTGCTTTGGTGGCTGTCAAAGATTGCTGAGTGATTTCCTTACTCAGATGTTTGTTTTTTTTAAATTCACTCATGGGACACAGGCATCACTGGCTGGGCTGGCATTTATTGCCCATTTTTGGTTACCCTTGAGAAAGTGGCGTTTGCTGCCCTCTTGAACCATTGCAGTCCATGTGCTGTAGGTAGATCCTGAGGGAGGGAATTTCAGGATTTCAATCCAGTGACAGTGAAGGAATGGAAACATAGTTCAGGATGGTGAGTGGCTTGGAGGGGAACTTGCAGATAGTGTTGATCCAATGCATCTGCTGCTCTTGTCCTTTTAGATGGAAGTAAAGTGCTGTCTGAGGATCTTTGGTGAATTTCTGCAGAATATCTTGTTGGTAGTACACACTGCTGCTGGTGTGGAGGGAGTCAGTACTTGTGAAGGTGGTAACAATCTAGCAGACTGCTTTGTCCTGTATGGTGTCAAGCTTCTTGAGTGTTATTGGAGCTGCACCCATCCACTTGCCTGGAGTATTCCACGACAGTCCTGACTTTTGCCTTGTGGATGCTTGACAGGCTTTGGGAGTCAGGAGGTGAGTTACTCACTGCTGTATTCCTAGACTCTGACATGCTCTTATAGCCACTGTGTTTATGTGACAAGTCTGGCTGAGTATCTGGTCAATGGTAACCCTACGGATGTTGATAGTGGATGGTACGATAACGGGTGGAAATTGCGTTAAGGGTGAGGGGTGAGATGTTGGCAGTATACCAAGAGGAATGGATGGTGAGGGAGACAAGATAGCAATCAGAAATATTTTTGCCACTGATTTAAAGTATGAGATCTCAGGACCTTGGTACTTTAAGAAATGAGGAGGGACAAAGCTACAGGTGGAATTTCATGTCCATTGTGAAGTTGACTTGAGGAAAAACTTTTGAGAAGATTGTGATTAATTTAGGTGACTTTCCAGGTTATGACTGCTTTCAAAAAAGGGTTGAATATCAAAATGAATCTTCAAAATTTATACCTTATTTTTGTCATTCTGTTGCCAAGAGTAATGAAGGGACAACATAGTGAGAAAATGGACGCTGACGTTTGTCAACAAAAATGCTCATATAAGATTGATGAGCACAAAGGTATCTATCAGTTCATTGAAAAAACTATTATCTTTTGGTTTGGACTTGGATCGTTGAAAGCAGTATGTTTCAGCATTAGTCTTGGCCTGATTAGTCCTGATTCAATTGATCATTTATTTGGTTGATGGATAAACTGTTTCTTCTGTTATGGATATTGTTGTAATAGTCTGTTCATGTGCGTCATGCTGTAGGAATTGGTTTTCACTTTTGAAGGAGGTGGCAGGATAAAATATCTGATGTTTTTTTAAAACTCGGATGTCCAGGTGAAGAACAGAATATGCAGTCTTACTCCTGACTGAGTTACATGTTGTTATTTTTAAGGATTTGCACTGCATGCATACATGTTTAACATGTGAACCTCAATGAATGTTCACCATCTGAATACAATTAGCATCTTGAGCCAGGGGCACTTTGTGCCACAGTGGTAGTGTCCCTACTCCTGAGCCACCAAGGTTCAAGTCCCATCTAGTCCAGTGGAGTGTACTAACATAGTTGAACAGGTTGATTGGAAAAGCATCCCAAAGTATTTTTGCATTCTATTCAATTCATTCTGCATCTTCTGTCACCACAAAATGAAATATACAATTATTAAAGGGTTCTTGTGGTACAGAGCTAGTATCCCTACCCCTGAGCCAGGGGATAAAGGTTCAAATCCCACCTACTCCAGAGATGAGCAGGTTAATTAGGTAAAATACGCAGTTATCAGTGAAGGTGCTTCCTCAGTGAAGTTAGATTGGGAGCAATTGAACTATTAAAATGTTTAGTAAAAAATAACACAATATTCTCTGTTCTTTTGTGAAATTAGTGCTTTTGGCTGCCCCTATTCAGAGCTCAACCTAAAGAAAGAGTCAATTCAAGACAGACTTGGAGGAGAGAAACAGATGACCCTGGTGCCAATACCTCTTCTTTCAAGAACTAAACGTTTGGATAGTAATCATTCAAGTGGGAAGCCAGAGGAGTGTGTTAATGAAGCAAGGTAAATGACTTTTTGAATTTATTCCAAACATATTGAACAGTATTCTGGGCATTTATATTGTCATGTAAATTTCTGTGAAAAGATCCAGTACTTCATTTGGAGTTGCGTGTTGCAAAAACAACATGAGTCAGATGTTTTGTTTTGTGTTAATGTAAAGACAGTAATAATTAACTTGTGTTTTTATGTTCCATCTTCTAATGGATGTATTTGTGTCTTATTTTTGCAGTAAGGATAATACATCATAAATCACTTGTCACTTCATTGCTGCAGTTTCGGCTTTTGAAAGCTACTTAAATAGATTAACAGAAACCTGCGCAGTTGTGTAATCCTGACATAATGGGCCTCTTAGCAAGGCTCAAACTTCCTTATTTTTAAGGAAACGTCATTCACAGGGTACAAGTGTTACTGACAAGGGCAGCATTTATTGCTGGCTCTACTTATCATTAAGAAGGTGGCGGTTATCTGTTCTTGAGCCACTGTGTGTCTGTGAGGTGTAAGTGCTTCAGTGATGTTAGGTAGGGAGCTCCAAGATGTTTACCTGGAGCCAGTGACATTGGAGGAGAACTTGGAGGTGGTGGTGGTGTTTCCATTTATCTGCTGTCTTTGTTCTTCAATGTTATAGAACCCACCAGTTTTCATATGATCTGTGAACTTGCCAGTCAACTCTCCCACATTCAAGTCTAAGACTTTTTTTTATACATATATATACTACAAACAGCAGGGCCCCCAATACTGATCCCTGCAGAACCCTGTTAGACACAGGCTTCTAGTCACAAAAGCATCTCTTGACCATCGTCCTCTGCGCCCTGCCACTCAGCCAATTCTGGATCCAATCAGCCAAATTTCTTTGGATCCTATGACCTCTTAAGTTCACTGTCAGTTTCCCATGTGGTACTTTATCAAAAGCTTTGCTGAAATCCAAGACAACTACATCAAATGCATTGTCCTTGTCTACACATCTGGTTACCTCTTCAATAACTTCAGTCAAATTGGTCAGAAATGATGTTCCTTCAACAAAACCATGCATGCTGACTCTTCTTGATTAACCCCATTTCCAAATGTAGATTAATTCTACCCCTCAGAATTGTTTACAGTAGTTTCCCAACAATGACGGACCTGGGATTCCCTTGTTTATCCCTTACCCCTTTCTTGAATTATGGTACAGACAGTCCCCAGTTGCAAACAGGTTTCCATTCTTGAGTCCATTCACAAGTTAATTTGTACACAAGTCAGTTCATAACACAGTACAACATAAAACAGCCATTCATAAGTATGAGGAAAATGTTTGCATGTCAGATCTTTAAAATTAATGTTAATGTACTTCTGTGTGGAATCGCATTCATAAGTACGAATGTTCATAAGTCAGACATTTGTAAATCGGGACCGCCTGTACCACTTTGGCTATCCTCCGACTCTCTGGCATCTCTCTTGACACCAGAGAGGAGGTGAAAGTCATTGTCATGACCACTGCTATTTCCTCCCTTGCCTGTCTCAACAGCCTGGGATACGTTTCATCCAGCCCTGGAGAGTCATCTACTCTAATGCCTGCCAGACCAATCAGAATCTCCTCTCTGTCAGTACTAACTAGTTCAGTTCTATCATAGTGCTTCACCCTGATTTCTATATGCACATCGTTAGTCTCACTTGCAAACACTGACATAAAGTATTCATTTGGTACCATACCTGTATCTTCTGGCTCTATGCCCAAATGATTGCTGTGGTCCTTAATGGTCACTACTCTTTCCCTCATTATTCTTTTGCCTTTAATGTTCTTGTAGAATAATATAGGATTTTCCTTTATTGGACTCACCATTATTCTCTAATGCTCCCCTTATTGCTCTCCTAGTTTCCTTTCTAATTTACACCTTGCATATTCTGTACTCCTCCAGGGCTTCTGCTGTTCTCAGCCTCCAGTATTTGCCATGAGTCTCCGTTTTTCTTCTTTTTCAATCCCGTATATCTCTCAATATCCAGGGTTCACTGGATTTATTGGTCCCACCCTTTATCTTTATTGGAACATGTTGGTCCTGTTCCTTCTTCAATACGTCCCACTGCTCTGACATAGCTATATTTAAACGTATGTGTGCCGAATCAATTTTTGCCAAATCTTACCTCATTACAATCCTACCCCCCAGCTTTAGAACTTTGAGTTACAGTGCACATCCTTGTAATTTTCCATAACAATCTTGAATCTATACAAGTTATGGTCGCTGTCTGCAAAGTCCTCTCCCATCAATACTTCAAACACTTGCCTGGCTTCATTACTTAAAATTAAGTTCATGTCCAACATCCCCTCCTTGTAGGGCCTCCAGCACATTTCCTGCAAAAGTATTCCTGGATACATTTTAAGAATTCTGCACTCTCTAAACCTTTCACACTATGACTGGCCTAATTAATGTTGGAAAAGATGAAGGGTACAAGATGGTGGCAGAATAAAATGCTCCTGCCAGAGCTCCTCGGCTCTCCATTCCCTTTTTCTTTTTCTTTGTTTCTTTCCCCTATTTTCTTCCCCCCACTCCCAAGTTTTAACTTCTTAAACTACCCTACCTAGAGGGAATGGAGAACGGAGTCCGGAGGCGAGTCGTGGCCGGAGCGCACAGCAGGAAGCACAGAGATTGCGGGCTGTGTCCAGGAAGCAGGTCACAGCTGGTGCCTGGAGCAGGGAGCAGAGCGAGCATGGGCCGAGCCGGGGGTCGAGTCGCGGGCCGGAGCCCAGGGCGGGAGCAGAGCGAGCATGGGCCGAGCTGGAGGTTAAGTTGCAGGCCAGAGCCTGGAGTGGGGGCAGAATGAGCCCAGGCCGGCTGGGGGAAAGGGTCCTGGAGGCGAGTTTGGGACAGAGGCCAACTTGTGGAGGCAGCAAGGCCTTGTGTTCTGAAGGCTGGCAGGCACAAACTTAATGAGAAAGGCCTATAACTTGACTACTTTAAAGATACTTTTTATTTTCATTGTGGACTTTTTAAACTCGGTATTCCATGCTAGTCTGTGTTTTCTTACTATTTAAATTCTGTAACAACACTTAAAGTATCTGTGCCCAGGTACCCTGTACCTAAGATGGCGCTGAAAGGCGACAGTACAAAAGTTTCACTGCACTCACTGAGTGCATGTGATAATAAAGGCTATTCTGATTCTGATTACAAAACCCTCACTATCACTCCTACAATCAATACCAGATAAACGAGACTAATGGAATGCACTGCTGCTTTTGCTGATGGACTACAATACTACGTGAATGTCCATTTTTCATCTGCTGAATCTGTTATGAACTTGTCTCATTTAGCTGAAAGGTAATGCTGTACAACATGATTGAATGTGCCTTGCATTGAAGACAAATCATGAATGCTGCATGTTTGTAGATTGCACTGCCAAAAGTGATTGGGATTGATTTTTATGAAGATAAACTGTATTATGTAACTAACTTCCATTCAGTGCACATTGCTGGTGAAGTAATTTTGGAAGATTCCGTTGTAGTTTTGGTAATGAGTTTGATGCATGGCAGATTAAATGTATTGTTTTTGAGTAAACAGACTACTTACAGTGTGTCCAAGTGTAAGTCCCATGCGCTCGTTTAGACTGGTGCCCTTTGAAAACATGACACAAAAGTATTAAGACAGGAAATCAGATGTTTTGGACTGGAAGTCATAGAATCCCTACAGTGTGGAAACAGGCCCTTCGGCCCAACAAGTCCACACTGACCCTCAGAGCAACCCACCCAGACCTATCCCCCAATAACCCAACTAATCTACACATCCCTGAACACTTTAGGCAATTTAGCATGGTCAATCCACCTAGTCTGCACATCTTTGGACTGTGGGAGGAAACCCACACAGACACAGGGAGAATGTGCAAACTCCACACAGACAGTCACCTGAGGGTAGAATTGAACCTGGGTCCCTGGCGCTGTGAGGCAGCAGTGCTAACCACTGAGCCACCGTGCCACCCCTAAGTGTATGCAAACAGAAGGGCTTTTTTGCTATTATTGTGTCTGATACTCTTTAACCAAAAAAGTGTTAAAGCAAAGGGGCTTTTACGTTGTGATATGATATATTTGGGGATCACTGTAGAGACCTGGTTGATCTATGATCTATTAGTTTTGGTAAAATCACCATTTCATTTTACTAAAATTTCCTATAAATATTGCTTAGTATTGTTTTAAAACTAAAAACGATGTTTACGATAACATTCAGTGATCTTACACTGCCAATGAAATTATAGGTTTTGTGTTGGACTAAAACAGCAAAATGATGTTGACTAACTCATTGTTCTTTCAGGCAAGGTTGCACACTCAAATTCACCCTTTCGAGCAAGACATGCTAATATGTCGGGAATAAAACTATTCTGTGCCAAAGAGACAGCAAGTTCAACAGGAACTTGCAAGATGAAATTGAGTAAATACTTGAGTGAGGAAAGTAAAAATACAGGGCTATTGAGAAGCAATGGCGTAGTGGGATCAATTTGTTGGCTTTTTCAAGGAGCTTACACAGACACAATGCCTAATGGCCTCTTCCTGAACTGTACGGTCCTATCTCTGTTTCACTGGAAACCTCTTTGAACTTTTCTTGCATCTAATGTTACAGAAAATGTCCCACTCCTGGTTGTGATGGATCAGGTCACATAACGGGGAAATACGCTGCACACCATCGAGTGTCGGGTTGCCCTCTTGCTGACCAAAAACAGATCAAGATTAAAATTGAACAGCAGGATGAAGAAGGGCCATCAGAAAATAAAGCAGTATTTTCATTTGCTCAGCGCAAAAGGACAAAACATCAAGGCCGGTGAGCAAATGGATGAACATTTTAATAGTTAACAAAGTTCTGATGACAAGAATCAGATAGTGTACTTAATGCATGTTGTACTTGTGTAATTATTGATTACCTGTTTGGGACAAATATCAAACAGCAGTATTGCTTTTGGGTCACCAGAATGATGTTTGCATTATCAAAGAGAGCCCACAATCAAAGATAGCCACAGGTAGGATTTGTATTACACTACCTGATGAATCCTTTATACAGGGTGACACGTATGAACGGCTCCAGAAATTTTCCTGAGCTGCCATTCAAATTACTTCTCTGCATATTCTATCAGTATCTTTAAAATAATCCTTCAGAGGCTTTGAAAATAATTAAAATATTAATGTTAAACGACATTTTAATTCCACTTAGATGAAGGCTTCTCAGAATAATTACAGCCACCTGATGTGTATGAGGAAAATATGATGTTGATGTGTTGGAAGCAGCCATTCATAGAGACCTGAACTCATGAAAAAAAAATGTTTTCTTAAGAAACTAATTTATTTCGAAGCATTTGCAAATTTCATTTCTGAAAGTTAAAGCAATTTCGTTAATGATGCAGTATTATTTTTGATTTGGAAACCAGTCTTCGTTCATTTAAACTCCAAGTAGAGTTAGGAATTGGTTCCTTCACTGGCTACATTTCAGACATTCTGGGACAGTATACTTTATCTTGGCCCTTATATCAGCAGCATTGTTATGCTTGGCTTCTGACATTAGAAAATGTTTCCAATTCCAGTTCGTAGTCATCCAAAATTTCTTCTGCATCTCTTAAGAAAGTGTTTTCTTTCAATTGTCATCAGATTTCTTCAATTTTGTTCAGAAATTAATCTGCATATTTCACAAATCTTTTTTTAAGTAATGCTATCACCTACAGTGGTCCAAGTGTCATTTCTCAAATAGACCGACTCGAGTTAACTAGACCTAAGTCATTAGGCCAAATTACTAATTCCTTCTTAAACGAGCCACAGTGTGGTATTTCATTTGTGAAATTCCCTTTGAAATTCACAAGATACTTAAGGCTTGACATGGGGGTGTGATGAACAATGGCAACAACTTAGATTTGCTGCGTTGACTTTAGCACAAGAAAACATCCCAATGCCCTTCGCAGGTACATTATGACCAAGGTGAAACAAAATTGGACATGGGCCATAAAGGCAATATAAGGACAGATGACCAAAAACTTAGTCGAAGAGGTGGGTTTTTAAAGAGTAGAGAGTTGGAGAGATTGAAGGAAGGAATTCCAGAGCTTATGGCCCAAGCAGGTGAAAACACAGTCACCAAAGACGTAGCGATTTAAATTAAAGATATTCAAGAGGTCCAAATTAGAGCATTAAAATCTTGGAGTATTGCGAGACTGGAGAATGTTACAGGGACTGGGAGAACCAAGACCACAAATAGATTTTAGAACCCATTGCTTTAACCAGGTTTTAAATTTAGGCCAATGAAACTTGACGTTGGCTAGGAAAAAGGCAGCAGAAGTTCAAAGAGTTCACATTTCTAGAAGGTGAAAGATGGAAGTTTGATCAGGACGGTATTGGAATAGTCAGTTTTAGAACCATACATTGACAAGCTTCGCAGCAGCAGATGAGTAGACACAGCGATTATGTTGATGTGCCATCAGAATATTGTCACGTTCAGATACAGCCCCAACCAAGGTTGTGTGTAGTTCTTTTTGCCTGTTACCAGGTTGGGGAATGGAGTTATTAACTGAGTTTTTGGTGGGACAAAAGGTAATGGCTTCAGTCTTCCAATTAATTCATCGGAGACAATTTCTGTTCATCCTGTCCTGGATGTTGGTTAAAATCTCTGACGTTTTGGAGTGAACGAAACAATTGAGACAATTAGTGACAATGTAAAGCTGTGTGTTGACAGAATATCTCATGTTTTTGGATGTTAAAGAACAAAATCAGAAATAGCTGGAAAAAACCCAGCAGGTCTGGCAGCATCTGTGAAGAGAAAGCAGAGTTAATGTTCCTGAAACATCAACTCTGCTTTCTCTTCACAGATGCTGCCAGACCTGCTGAGTTTTCCCAGCAATTTCTGATTTCCAGCATCCGCAGTTCATTAGTTATTCAGATGTTGATGCTAAGTGCCAGCGTGCAGATGAGAAGTAAGAGGGCAGAACGTGTGTTAGATTTTTGGGGACACCAGAGGTATAGGTGTGGGAGCAAGAACAGCTCTCACTGTGATTAAAACCCAAAAGAACTGCAGCTGCTGTAAATGAGGAACAAAAACAAAGTTGCTGGAAAAGCTCAGCAGGTCTGGCAGCATCTGTGAAGGGAAAAAACAGAGTTAACATTTCGGGTCCAGTGACCCTTCCTCAGATGAGAGTTGTACTAGGCAGGTTCCATCCCCATTCAGTTGGATGACAGTGTTGAAGAAGAATGGTGAGATCAACCTTAGCAAAACGTAGTGGAGCTGAGAGGGAAAAGAGAATATTTACTTTTATTTGGGTTACGTTGAATGTCATTTCTGATTTTGACAAGAGCAATTTAGGCATTGTGGCAGGGAAATGATCAGAAATTCGACTGCGGGGATTCAAACATGGAGTTCAGGGAAATACAAACATGATTTTGGGAAGTGATAGAATCAAGGACTTTGCAAAGGCAAAGGAAAGTTGGAGTAGGGAGTTTGCAAGGATCAAGGGATTTTTTTTTGAGGAATAGCTTGTAACAACAGAATTCAGGATAGTTGAACAATACCTGAGCGGGAACTGTTTACAATATCCAGTGATAAAGGGGCCCAGGATAGGAAATTGGAAGTCAGCAGTTCAGTGGGAATAAGTTCAAGGCAGCAAGAGGTTGGATCGCATGCACAAGATGGGTATAAGTTTGTCTGGGCTTAGTTTTTGGATGGAACAGGCTACAATGATGGAAAATAAATGAGATTCCTAAGGAGTTTAGTGACCAGTATCTGTCCAAATTGGACATAGTCCATTCCTTGCTAAATTGTTCTGTTTTTTGCCCATTTACATGGGTCCCATGCATTTGTAATTTCTATCCCGCATTCTTTCTCTTGCAAAAGTAATGCCAGGTCTTTGTGGTTATTCTTCAGGACTGATTTTTAACCAATGGTCCTCTGCTATTGAGAATCTCTCTGATCATTTGCACTAATCACTAACAACAATCCAATTGCTGAGTCACAATTCCAGTGACAGCACAGGTATTGCTAAATCACATGTAGCTTCAATGTCACTAAGATACCCCGTGATAGCAATAAATAACCCAAGGTAAATAGTTAGCAGCAGGCAGCCTTCAAACAGACTTCACCGTCTTCTTTGGGAGCGAAGAAGAAAAAAAGTGATGGTGAGGAGGATGAGAGACAAAAGACCTTCCATAAGCAGAATGGTATCCATCCCATCCTCAACCCCCGACTTAATGTTCATCAGGCTCTTTCTAGTCTACATTGGAAATAGTCTGAATTGTTGCTGGCAATTTCACCGAGTCAAAACAAAAATTCCCCACGTAATGTACAAAGAGATATGCATTATATTGTTTTTTTTTCTTGTTACATGGCTATTGACATAAGGTGGGGCGAGAAGACCCTAAACTTGGAGTTCCTCTGCTCCTGTCTTTAACTGGGGCTCAGCATTGGATTGATCCAAGTACTCTGGTGAAGCTAGGTTGATAACATCTGCTTTGCTAATAGGTAGATGAGGCATCCGTTCTTTGTTTAAGGAAAATACCAAAAGACCACTTTTCAGAACTTAGGCAAATGGCAAAATTATGACATTACAAATAGACCTTACTGTTCCCCAGCAATGTTAAGAATCCACAGTTTGCTATCTCAATCATATTTTCAAATCTGTAGTAATATTATAAACTATCAGTTGGATGCCAGGATTTTTATTGTTACCTTCTGCAGATCCTCAATTTATAGCAGACTTTTTTCATTCCTTTGCATAATTGGTGAAGCTTGATTGTAATCATTTGCACAAATGCCACCTCAAATTATTGAAAATCCTAAAAGTATTTTTCAAAGTGCCTTCATAAGCAAACTCTTATCCCTCAAGAGTATGTTTCCACCTTTTGCAGAAATATCTTGCCTCCTCAGTCTTCCTTGTTCAAGCACCATCAGTAAAGCAAATGATCATGTGCTGTTGCTGGAGCATTAGAAATTGTCTCTAAATCAAAACAGGACAGTGGAGTTGGGATAATTACAGCTTCACCATAATCTACTTTTTGTGACAAAAAATGACAATGAAGTGTATCGCTACTGTGCTGCCAAATCCACTTAATTTCCTCCTGAGGAAAGAAATGTTTTCTTCAAAAGTCTTTCGACTTAAAATTCAGACACTTCTGAAAATGAAATATAAGCTCCACTTCAAGATAATGAGCATCAAATAAACTGGAACTGTTGCACAGGCACTTCATCACAGCACATTGGTATAAGAGTTAAGTGACCTACTTTCTGCGGTACAGACCCACATAAAATTAAATCATTGCTGCACTCCAGCATTGGTTATCATTAACATTAATCTAAGGTTCTACTGCTGGAGAAGCCACTGTGAAAACCACAAGAAATTATCACAAACTAAAAATCCAGCTATTAGACACTTCAACCTGATTCTGACTTAATATAACTGTTTGATGCCTGTGATCATACATTTGTTTTCTGTGCTTCTAGTATTTATCTTTCTTGGAATATATGATTTTGAGATATAAAATCCTGATAGGTTTTAGGAATATTGCTAAATCCTCAGTAATTAGAACTTATTTTAAGGTCGAATTTTAAATCTATTATGCACTTTATCTAAGCATACTCTTTAACAATGACAAGTGAAATTGATGCCCTCTGTAGTTGACTACCTCTTGGCATTCATTGCCCTGACTTAAAGAGGGATCGCCTGTGTAATGTGTCACAGGAATTTAGGTATATTTGAAACTATACCGCAACGTTGGATTTAGTTTTCAGGGAGGAATGTGGATGGAGCGAATAAACAGACATTTTGGGATGGATTTTCTTTGTGTGTTCAGGTTTAGGAGCCAAAAAAAGATAATGCTGCCTATAAGGTCAGCACTACCACTAGGGGGAGCCTGCACATGCATGAATTGGGAACATCGCTATCAAGCAGCTGCTACCTGTATGGACACTATCTGGGGGTAGGGGAGTCCAGGCCTCAGCATTTTTAAACAGTTGCTCAGCTGAAAACCTTTAACTAACCCCTTGAAAATTGGAATGTAGGCTGCAAGGGGATATTCAGCCCTAGAATGCTTACAATGAGTGACGGTTTTGGCTGTGAAGGTCTACTTTCCATGTTCCTGGTGCTAATTGAGGGTCTGCACCCTACAGGTTGCCTCCTCCTTTGCCCTGTCCAACATGCTACACCTATACCCATCAACCTGGCCCGGTCAAGATTCTAGACTTAGCTGAAGATGCGTGGCATCCGTGGCTAGTCTTTCCATCCTGCTAGCCCTTCTGTTGCACTGACGTTAGCATATAATCTAGTCCTGTGACTCGCAGACATACTTGCTGGCTCCTCTGCCCAACATGAATATGTTGCTTCAGCTGCCACGTTGAATATACCAGTATAAGCACAGTCAGAAACCCGAGAGTGACTGAGAAGAATAATACAGATTTGAAGGCCGCACCCGGTTGGAGAGAATATGGAACTCATGCTGTGAATAAGGGGAGGGACGACTGCATTTCATTTACCAATCCAACTGAGCCACTAGCTCCTGTTATGATCCCAGCTCATGATGTTACTGATCAAGTTGGATCCTTGTCTGAAATATGGCATAATAGATCCTTTTGTTTTAGTTTCAATAAGGTTATCTTTCACTGAAACACGAGCATTGCAATGCTGCGTATTTGGTTTTAACATTAAAAGAGAGGTTCATTACATGAAAGAAATGAAGCTAAAATACAATAAATCAAAGTATTAACATATAACACAAATTTAAATATTTTGAAACATATGATAAAACGCTATCTTATTAATCCCAATAACACTCTTTTATAATACTCACACCAGACAGAATTCCCTTCTTCCACATCTATAGAGCGTAATTTCAATGTACCTTCAATACCCCATATTGACAATCTGATAGTCTTTTCATGAGACCTAAGCTTAGATTTTAACAGCTTGCGATAACCCCTTTCAGGGCTAGAACCAAAAACTTCTGGTCTGGAACTTTCAAACTAAACTATTTACACTGAGGTAACCAATTTCTTAACAGTTCTAAATCATCTCTTTTTGTCAGGAGAAACTGTTTTAATAGCCATACTTATTTTATATTTTGCAAAGCCAAGTTGCTGCAAAACTGTCCAACGTTTAACTTTTCTTCAAGCTGTGGGTGTTTCCCTAACCAAAAGGTTAAAAAAAAAGTCAATCTCTGACCATCTGAATGGAAAGCCTGAAGAAGGGTCACTGGACTCGAGATGTTAACTCCGATTTCTCTCCACAGATGGCTGCAAGAGCTGCTGAGATTTTCCAAGAGTGTTTGTTTTTGCTTAATTTGTCTTTGATTCAGAGCTTGGAAAAAGGACATAGTGTGCATTGCCTTAAAAATTTATCTTTAACTCTCTAGAGTATGTGGAAAACATGGTAAACCCTATATATTAATGCAAATTTAAATTGGGCCTTTAAGTAAATTATTAAAAAGTGTTTGATTTCTGAATCATGAAACCTAATTCTACATATACACTGTCTCAACTATAAATCTAATTAAGTCATACCTAATTGGTTGTTAATTATTCTTGTGGATTGCCTTTAATCTCTGATCTGGCTGCAGAAAGCTGCAGGCATCAGTGTGTAGAGTGGACTGATTTGACTAATCCATTACAATGCATTTTTTCATCTTCTTTGTGCTGGCTTGTGCACCAAACAAAACGAAGCATTTTCCCATTTGTTGTGCAGCTACAAGGTTCACTACTTATGATGGGTTAATAAGGTTCGTTTGCTACATAAGGTTTTCTGTTACATTTTGAATAAATGCAAAGACTTCAAACTCTCTCATGCTTGTAGACCATTAATTCATAGAATGTTGCAGCACAGAAGCGGCTTTTGATCCTTTAGAACTTCCAAATGTTGATTTCCGCAGGTGTCATCTATGTTATTTTCATTTTCATGCACATTCCCTTTCAATATCCCCAGAATATGAGCCTCAGGTTCTGCATTACTAGTCCAATGATAGCTCCTCAGCCCTGGTAATATGTTGGTGAAATCTTCAACTGTCTTTTTTTTCCATACTTCCTGAAAAAAAGCATGCCCAGAACGAGACTCAATATTTCACCTGTGGCCTAACAAAAACCTTCTGCAAGTGCAACATCTTACGAGATGAATCTGACAGAGACCAATTTAAAGTTTACCAGTTTGAAAATCAATAGTGCACTGATTCGCTACAATTCTTTGTTGCTGAAAGAAAAAAAAGTATGTGAACGCCTTTATCTTAAAAAAACATCGAATACTTTGCATTTCTTTTATGCATGTGAACAGCACAACCATTTTGCACACAAAGACAGAACAGAGAAATATCTCCACAGTGTATCTTCAATCCCATTTACCACAGCTTTGTTCAAGAAACATAACTGATTTTCCACACCAAACAAAAATAGAAATTGCTGGAGAAGCTCAACACGTCTGGCAGCATCTGAGGAGAGAAAACCGTTAACACCTTTTCAGGATGGACCATTGGACGCAAGACATTAACTGTTTTCGCTCCACACATGTTGCCAGACCTGCTGAGTTTCTTGAGCAAGTTTTGCTTCTGTTTGTTTCAGATCTCTCCATCTATAGTTCTTTATTTTAGAGTTATAGAGCTCTACAGCATGGAAACAGATCCTTCAGTCCAACTCGTCCATGCCGGCTAGATATCCTAAATTAATCTAGTCCCATTTGACAGCATTTTGCCCGTATCCCTCTAAACCCTTCCTATTCACATACCCATCCAGATGCCTTTTAAATGTTGTAATCGTACCAGCCTCCAGCACTTTCTCTGGCAGTTCATTCTACACATGCACCACACTCTGTGTGAAAAAGTTACCCCTTAGGTCCCTTTTAAATCTTTCCCCTCTCACCTTAAACCCCCTATGCCATCTAGTTTTGGACTCCTCTATCCTGGGAAAAAGACCTTGGCTATTCACGTTATCCATGCCCCTCATGATTTTATAAACCTCTATAAGGTCACCCCTCACCGTATGACGACCCAGGGAAAATAATCATAGCCTATTCAGCCTCTCCCTAGAGCTCAAACCCTCCAACCCAGGAAAAGTCCTTGTAAATCTTTTCTGAACTCTTTCAAGTTTAACATTTTTCCTGTAGCAGGGAGACCAGAATTAAACGCAAAAGTGGCCGAACCAGTGTCCTGTATCGCCACAACATGACCTCCCAATTCCTATACTCAATGAACTGACCAACAAAGGCGAGCATACCAAATGCCTTCTTCATTACCCTGTCTACCTGCGACTCCACTTTCAAGGGTTCCAAGGTCTCTTTGTTCGGCTACACTCCCCAGGATTTTACCATTAAGTATATAAATCCTACCCTGATTTGTCTATTTTAATGATTATTTTTGCCTCATAAGTAGAGCTGCGCTTTTGAGAATGCGTGATTCCCTTGATACTGCACTGAAATGTGTGCCTAGATAACTTCTAATGTCTTGAAACATGTAAGCTTTTGTATTGTGGATCAGGCTATCACCTGGACCATAGTGGATGACGTCTGTGGTCATCGTAGTATTTAATCAGAATAATAGAGCTATAGTGACTGAGCTTCATGACAAAGACTGAACTTTACTCTGCTTTCTGCTAGGCTAGCTCGACCAGCAAAATACATGAAAATGAAAGAGGAAACAACTGATATTGACCTGCATAGTCTCCTCAAAGGTAATAACTTCTTTTGGAACTAATTTGCTTGCAAGCTGTTAGATGTATATATAACATTTTAGTGTGGGTAGCACACTATCTCCTCAGCTAGACAGTTATGCATTCAAATCCTACTCCAGGACTTGAGCACAAAGGTAAGAGCTCCAATTTAGTCATGACGTAGAATATTTGAAGTTGCGTTTTTCAGATTAAATGTCAAACTCGGGCTCCATCTTGCTTCTCACGTATCATTATCTTGAAGAAAAATAGGGAAAAGAGTTATTCTCTGCTGTCCAAGCCAATACTTATCCCTCAGTTAACATCACACAAATCAGATTCTCTTGTCGTTATCGCAGTGTTGTTTGTAAGAGCTCACGGTCTGTAGATTGGTTTCCTACAATAACGATTGCAGGTAAAAACTACATCATCATTTTCACTTTCCAACGTCCAGTGGCTGTGAAAATTGCCATGGATGTGCAAATAGTTCCAGTACACTGGACTAAGAACTGAAAGCAACTTGAAAAAGGTAACGAAAAGAGTGAAACAAAGCAACAAGGTGATAACCATACAGGTCCCATTTTTGCAGCCCTCAATTCCTTTCCTCATCATATTTCTGTACAGCAATTTTTTTTAAGGTAAACCTATTCCATATTTACTGCCTCACCTGAGAATTCACATCCCAAATGTCTTTCTAAACCCACTTTTATCAGCAGCCCAGAATATTTTTTCATATCTCCGTTGTTCAGATTTTGTACTGCTATGAACATATTTATCTTTTTAAAGCCTTTATCTTGATAGTTCACTCTGGTTTGGATTTCTTACATCTTATTCCAGGACATTACTCTTAAAAGAAGCTGGCAGGAGATGTGCTAGAGTGATGCGCTTGATTCAATTGCTGAATGTTTCTTAGGGAAAATGCCCTGGATAGATGGAATAAATTAGAAAATTGAGATTATACAGATAAGAATACATTTTCAAAGTTCAGTTGTGGTGAGGCACATTATACAGCTCAATCATACATTGGAATCTACGTGATTTTCTTGTATGTCGGAGATGTCTCGCTATATTTCAAAAATCAACCCTTACCTTTGTTTCGTTGGTTGAAAACTCTGTTTTAAAGCTAGTTGATGGAGCGGATTGGTGATTAAAAACAAAACTAACTATCGTTGCATGGTTTTCTTTTATGGCAAATTGAGTCAAAAATATGGTGCAGCATCTCAGCAATTTTTTTGACCCATATTCAGTCAGCAAAGACTCACACCAACATGTTTCAACCTTTTAAGTGAATAAGACATTGCTGTAAACCAAAGACAGTCTGTGCTAGTCAGTGATGACAAAAGATAACAATTGTAAAGAAAACAGCTCAACATATTTTCTGATGAAGGGTCTAGGCCCGAAACGTCAGCCTTTCTGCTCCTATGATGCTGCTTGGCCTGCTTTGTTCATCCAGCTCTGCACCTTGTTAGCTCAACATATTGTAGTGATTGGAACAAGGTTTTCCGGGTGGATCGCATTGAGTTTAGTTCCCTGATAGGGCCATCTTAACCTGGGCCAATCTGGAAGCCCTGGCTGACATATATGAACAGGAGTCTCAGGGATTGTCCTCACTCTGTGGACTGGCTCTGAGCTGGCTGGTCAGAGTCCATGGACTGTGCACATGTAAATAAAGGATGACTTACTGACAGGATACTGGCCTCCCTGGAGTTATTTCACACATGTTGGGGTGAAATAATAGAGCACATAAGGGACAAGAGTAATGTGGGAGTGGAGGTATGGTTATCCCCAGCACCACACTGGCTTTGATGGTGGAGGAGGGAGGATAATGCACTACTCTGTTTGGCGTAACAACTTCATATGTCTGGATCTCTCAGTGGGTTTTGTGGGGAGAAGAACAGTTAAGTAAACAGGCTGGGTGGGAACATGGGGAAGATTAAAGCTAATGAGGAGGACTATCAAGAAGGAAATATGAAGATTTGGGGGTATCCTAGACTGAGAGGCTAACTTTGTGACTCGTTGTGTGAAGAGCAATCACTGTGATGCAATTAGGAACTGCGCAGTCGGGATGAAAATGGCTGCCACCACATCCGGAATGGGTTGGGTGAGTGTTTCATCCTGTGAAGGAGGCCACTCCACTTTCATGCGATGTGAGGCCTTTCAAAGGGAAATAACATTGAGCAGATGATCTTACGTTCAACGGAAAGGCACCTGCCAACCCTGGATACTGTATATAAACCTTACATGAATTTGCCAGTTTTTTTACTGTTACTGTATGATTGTTAAATTCTTCAATAAAGGTTTAAATAGTATTTCTGATTGTTCAGTAGTGACTTACTGCTTTCAAGATTTTAAATTCTGTTTCTTTTTCTCTGTGCCGCTTCTTAGATTTTTTCCCACCTTTTTATTGAACCAAATGGTGATTGCTACCTTCTGCAGTCAAGGTGGAATTTTCCCACTTCCTCATGGGGAAATCTTTCATGATCTAAACCACCAATGGCTTTCTCAGGCACAATTTTTAAATGAAGCTCTCTGGTCATTTTACTGTGAATATTCACAAATTTGAGCACAACTAAAGCCTTTCTTGTGGATCTTTGTTGGGTGCCTTCTGAAAGTCTGATTGCAACACTTCCCGCTTTCTAGTTAAGATATTTTTCCTCAAAGAAGTAAAGATGCATGGACAGATACAGATTCCCTTTTACAGCCACATCAATTGCTTCTTATTAAGATTGCTGTATGGATTTTCTAGTTTACACCTGATACTTTCTGGTCTTAGTAAAAGAATTGATGAATGAGTCTTTCATTGCTAGGTCTCACTTTTGAATACAAGCAATGTATTGGCCTGCTTTGAATCCCTTGGCACTTACCCAGTTTTCATTGACACCCTCATAATGAGTGTCATTGTCTGACAAATGTTATTTCTAATGAACTTTAGCATTCTGGAATAATGCCATTTATTCAAGGAACCATTTGATTTAAATTTCTAGCTTTATCACATGAGTAGTAAATTGATCCAAGAGATTTGCTATCTGTATAGAAGCTGACAGTTTTCTTGTTAATGTTTCACTGGGCTGAAATTTCTTAGCACTGAACAATGTAGGAGATGGGAAGTCAGTTGGGGAAATGTAGCTAGACTGGAAAGATAAATTTCTTGATATCCAGAAAAAAAACAGTCTCAATGCCAACCAAGATTTGAATGTCGAGATGAGAATCCCACTAGTAAGCAGTGAGAAGCTTGTTTGCATGCGTTTACAAGTCAATTGTGATTTTAAAAAAAATATATATAATACTTTTAAGAGTTTAGAATTCAAACTAGTGGCATATGAGTGTTGGTTTATTTTGTGAAGGGGTTTAATAATTAATCAGGGGATCGGTCTTTGCAGAACAATGATTTATACCAGTGTGTGTCAGAAAGCGTAACCGTGTAGACTCCCGGAGGGTTGATGGAAATATGTTTGTATCATGGTGTTTAAAACAGGAGAAGGGTAAAAAAAATGGAGTCATTAGCTTAGCAGAAGTTAGGCCAAGCAAGTATTATTAAATTTAACTAAAATCTTCTGAATTCAGTTCATGACAAGGAATGTTTGGTTAGAAATCTACATTGGTTATTCAAAGCAGAGAAAGTGTAGTATCTCGGCTGTGTTACTCAAAGGAAATATAACAGTCCTGCTCACAGGACTGGTACTGGAAAGAAGCAGTTAAGTTGACCTATAGATTGATGGAGAAGGAGAATTTCTCTGGATTTTGATTAACTTTCAGTGATGATGTTGGGGAGTACTTGCATCATTTCCCCCGGATGTTTGAAACATTTTCAACTGTGTTATAAGTAGATGGATTGCTTTGTTTTAGTTTCCTTTGAGTAATAAACTTCTGATTTATTGATAAAATTTAATCTGCAGCCTGGTGTTGTGACAGTCATATTCAATTAAAAGAAATAAGATGTATCAAGCCAGCTTTCATTCTGGGATCTGATTTGTCCTGCTATGGCATCAAATCTTGCCTCGTTTGTGTGCAGTTTCCCATTCTTATAGGAGAGAAACTAGATGTAACAGTTCCTGATGTGCAAGTCAGACTGTTTACCTGCAGCTCCAACTCTCCACTTGCTCCTCTGGGCCTCCATCTTGGATAGTAGTCTCCAACATCTCAGGGTGCGGTCCGTGGGCAGTGATCACCCGCAGCACCCATCCAGGAAGGTTGGCATCAAGAGTTCACCGGAATCACCACATCAGCATATCTCTTAGAATACAGTTCTCCATTTCAGTTCTCCATTTCAAAGGATGCCAACACTTGGTAATAGTATGCTGCTGCTAGGACACTTTGCCGCAGGGACTGGCACCCGACTCCTGCATCAAGGCTCACAGTCTTTCTGTCTTGCCTTACTGTTTAGCATAGACACAAAGCCAGGCACTTGTCACAGTTGTCAGCAATGATCTGTCAAAGGGGTAGAGATGATGGTGTATGGCACCAGGCTACATGATGGTCACACCTGCAGCAACTTACACAGCAAACACACTGAATGTGTCTCAAGCAAAGTGGCCAAGTCTCAAAGTCTAAAGGGAGTAGTCCTCAGTCAGGTCAAGAGTCTGTTGTCAGATAGGAGGTACCACCATAGTCAGTCAATGTCCACACCCAGTCTCAGTCCAGGGGCTTGGACACAATCAATCGGCTACTTGGGGGAGTCATGGGTTCTATATCACTGCAGCCCAGGGAGTGGACCACAGTCAGTCTTGCACGTCCATTGCAATCAGACCAGGGTATTTGGTGTATGTGAATTGAGGAGCTGCACAGGAATCAGTCAGGGGTCTGGTCACTCATCCATTGAGGCAGACCTTCCATGTTGGTCAGAGAAGCGGGGGTGCGGGAAGGTGGGTTGATGGTTTACAATCATGGGCATCTGCTCACTGAGAGTCAAGGGGACTTATCAGAGGCCACCATGATGTTGGGGAAGTAGAAGCAGCATATTGGGATGCAGAAGGGACAGTAATTGTGAAGGGAAGTAATTCAACGTACAAGGTTGGGAGATGATA